AGTGGGATGGCCAGGTTTCCAAGAGCAAAGGAACGTAGTGGGGCTGTGTGCTCTCCCCTCATCAGGCTGGGTACTGGGGGAAGCTGCTCATCATTCCCAGCCCCCTTCAATGGGGGAGCCTTGAGATGGGTCGGATCCTCATCCTCACCTCCCAGGAGCAATGCCAGGAGGTGCTGCAGGGCTGGCCCTTGCTTGTAAAGTCACCTGCACAGCTTTGGGTCCTGGCAGCTCTCAGCTTTGGGGGGAGGATAGAATTACTCGAGCTGGAATCACACTACAGTTTCATTATGAACCAAGCACCTTTCACTGCAAGGAAAGAGGAAAGAATAATAACTGCTTTTCAGTACATAATCAACGTGTCTCATTGTTTTCCAGATGAATTTTGATCACGGAAGACAGTTATGACTATAGAATAGACTGCGGAACTGTAGGCCATTGCGATGCTGAGGGGCCACGTGCTGCCCTGCATGGTCCCACAGGGAACACAAGGGCCACCATCTGCACCCAGGGGGACAGTGATGGAGTGATGAAGGAGTGATGTTGGGGCTGGCAGGAGCTACATGTGCTTTCTGGCCCACCTCCTGCTCCAACAGCTCTGTGCTGCCTCCCTTTGTGCCACACAACAGGAGTCTGGTGGGGATGCTGGGTGCCCAAACACATCCCTTCATCCCGTTGGGGCACTCAGGTAACACGCACTCATATCTGTTTCCTGGTGAGGAGCCTGTAATGCCTGCCACGGGAGGAGGGCTGGAAGAAATCCCAGGGATTTGGGACTTCTCCAGAAGACAGCATGGCTTGGGGGAAGTTAGCAGAGAAACAGGATAGAGGCATTTCAGAACATATTGAACCTTTTTCTTTTTCTGGAACGCAGGCATTTGCTAGATGCTGTCTCCGGAAGCGCTACACTACAAGTAGATTTATTGGCTTGCAGCACAGTTTATACTAATTTTTCATCCTCCAGCAATTTACACAAAATATTTCTGTAGTTATGCGTGGCGTTTTTGTAATTAGATCCTCACTTAACTGCTTTAATTGTGGCTGGTCTTTTGGCAGAGAGGTTGGGTAGCACCACCTGTTATAGGACTTGTGCAATCTCCCACTCACCTGAATCACTGCGGGATACAGAGGGGGAAAAAAGAGCGCAAGCATTCCCCAGCTGCCCTGCCAAAAGCTTGGAAATGTCACACAGAGAGCCTCTGCCAGCTTCTAAAGTTATCTGAGGAAGAAGGAGGGACAGGATGGACGTGAAGGCCATTTCCATCCCCAAAGGCCACCGCCTGGGGGTTCCTCGCATCACCTCAGTCACTGAGCGAGGGTCACAAAGGGCCACGGCCTTGCTGCCTTCCCTACGGACAGCCAGCCCGGAAAGCTAGACTGAGTTAATAAAACTCAGAGCACATCACGCTAATTACCCTGAGCGTGAGCAAAATGAGTTTCATCCCACCAGGTGTCCCACTGGGAGCTGAGTGGGCAACTCCTGGCTCCCTCACTTGGGCTCTGGGGAGATGGTCCCATCCCCACCCCAAGCACCAAACTGTGGGCTCAAAGCATGTGGGGGAAAAGCCCTCCTCAGAGTTTGGGAGATGTTCAGCCAAAGCTCCGCAGGCTCTCAGAGCCCCTCTCAGCACTCAGTGACTGCACTGGAAACACCTTCAGACCGAAGGCTGAACCAGGTTTGGGGCACCGTAAACCATGAGAAGAAATAGTGGATATCTCACTTTGAATAACTGAAAAGCAATCTAAATTTATGATGCAATACAAATGCATAGTTTCCATTTGAAAGGTGAGAAAAATCTGGTTTCTCAGACCCCCTCAGCAATGCAAGACTGCTGGTCGGGTCCTGTGCTTCTATTTGTTGTTTTTCCTTTGGCCCTTCCATAATACTGAAAGCATTAAAGCAAGAAACATCCTCAGATTGATTTCCTTTCTTTTCTCTGCACTGGAATAACTCAGCACTTCACTTTTGTCTTTTTAAGTTGCAATTTTTACGCAGTTGCAGCATTATTTAATGCTGCAGAGCTGAAAAGACTGGAAAACCTGGAGCAAATGTCTTCTCTTCCCATGAACATCACCCATTCATTCCTTTGTGTTTTGGAGTTTGGCACAGAGAGAAAAAGACAGGAATAAGAGAGAGAGGAGGAGCTGAAGACATGAATAATTTCTTCTCTCCCAAACCCAAAATGAAAAGAAAGTGTGAATATAGAATGAGACAAACTTTAATTTCTGTTCTTTCATCCAGAAGTTTTCCATGAGAAGATAAAAACGCGCCTCTACTGCGTTCCTTCCAACCTCCTCCAGTCTGTCCACCTTTGGCTCGTGCCCACACTCGCTCCCCATTAAGCCCCACTGACTGTATGGGCTTCTCCCAAAACACGAAACAGCCCTGGTTCAGAATGGGAACAGAGGATCCTGTGGTGCTTTGGGTGGGTTTTAGATCAAGTCTAAATTGATCCAAAGTCACTGTAACTTCGAGGTCTCCACTCAGTTCAGTGCACCATGAAGCGCAGGGTTGGGGTGGGGAATACAAGACTTACCCCTACATTTAGAACTGGGCAGCACTCCTACAACAGCATTAAGAGGATCAAAATATCATCTGGGTTCCAACTTCCTTGCCACAGACAGCATTGAGGTCTTGTATTATCAGGACTTAAATGTTTCCTCTGGTATAACCTCAGAGTACCTCAAGAACAAGTCCATTAAATACTGCCTAAGTGGGAACTGGCTTGACATTCCTGACTGCCTCCATCCCAGAGGAGCGAGGGAATGGATTGGCAAGTGACAAGCAAACCTGAGTGAGGGATTTCCTTGAAGCTGAGCAACACCACGTGTGCTTGGAGTGCCAGCGCTCAGCTGGCAGCTCTTGAAGTGTCACAGGAGCCGTCTGCCAATTCATCTTTCCTCTCTACGTCCAGATCTTTCCCAAGGTTCAGCTGCATGTGACTGTCTGCCAGCATGTTTGCACAGCAATGGGTCAGCAAGTGCTGTTCCTGCTCTGCTCACCAAGTGCTTAAAGACAGCTTGCTGCACTGCCCAGACAGCCACCAGGTAGCCATGCCTGAAAACAAACCTTGGTCCCTACCTGCAGTGATACTGGTCTTGCCACAGAATCACAGAATCACAGAATGGCCAGGGTTGGAAGGGACCTCAAGGATCAGGAAGCTCCAACCCCCTGCCACACGTAGAGCCACCAACCTCCACATTTAATACCAGCCCAGGCTGCCCAGGGCCCCATCCAACCTGGCCTTGAACACCTCCAGGGATGGACGGGGCATCACAGCCTCTCTGGGCAGCTGTTCCAGCACCTCACCACTCTTATAGTAAAGAACCTGTGGTGGCCACTGTCCTGCAGTGGTGCAGGGATTGCAGGGCAGCAGAGCCACACTGCACACGACAGGATGCACCCAGCACCTGAAGCTATGCTCAGCACCCAGCTCCCCACTGCTGCTGCCTGGGAGCTCAAATGTGCCCAGCATCCAAAGCCACAAAGACTTGGGGTGCCGCAGCAGTCAGTTCACAACTGTCCACTCTGAAGCAGCTGGGCATAGGAAGGTTCACCTGGCGACTTGTGTTTCAGATATCTTGAGGGTCTGCAAGGCAGACAGCTCCCAGTGCATCCCTATCTCATGGTGTGCCCATAGATGCAGTGGGCTACCAACCTGCTGGCTGGGACCAAGCACGTGAAAAAGCCCTTTGCCCAAATACGTGCTGGTAAGAACCCGGCAAGGAGCCCCTTGGAACAGAACATGCCACAGGCCCTAGGCTGCCAAATCCAGCCAGCAGGGCTGGCCGAGGTGACGATGACCACAAGGAAGTGCCAGCCAAGCACCATGGCTTTGTTCCTCGTTATGCAACAGGCAGGACGGAGGTTTCCGGTGGTATTTGCAGCTGGAGGTGGAGCCCACGAGGCGTGAAGGTCCACCTCTCACCGCAGACCTTTCCACTCGGCGTTTGACGGCGTTTGCCTCTCAGTTTATTATCTTGTGGTTTCAAACAATACAGGAAGGATGTAGGTGTTTGCAAGAAGAAAGAGAAGGAGGAGGAGGGCTGGCAGGCCGCTGCCGGGGGGGCTTCTCGACGGGTGCTACTTGCTGGAAACCGCTCTCCCACGCGCGTTATTAAAGGTGATGAAATTAATTTGGGGGAGAATAGTCTACAAAAGGGTCATGTTCCCAGCAGGGCTGGGCTGGGAGGGGCAAAGGTCATGAGTGAGAGCAATCCTGCATGGGAAGTTCCCTTTAAAACTCAAAGGAAAGCCAACAACCCAAGGGCCTGTAGGAGCCCCAGCAGCGTGTGAAGACCGTGGGCAAGGTTGTTCTCAGAGCCCAGGGTGCTGCAGGTCCTCATGGCTTTGCACACTGCTGCAAAGCCCACAGAAGACCTGATGGCCATAGGGATGGAGCTCGCTGGATGCAGGCAGGTGTCAGCTCCTGACCTGCCCTGGGCAGCACCTCCACCAAACCTCAGCACCTTCTAAAACAGCTTCTCCACCCCCACCTTCCCTCCAAGCCACCCATCTGTGCCATTCTCTCCTCTCCCACCCACTGAGTGGGCACAACATCTTTACAGCAATTTCTTCTTGATAGTCTTGAATGAACCATGTACCAGCAGCACATTCTAGAATCACAGAATCATTAAGGTTGGAAAAGAACATTAAGATCATTTAATCCAACCCAACCCATCACACCCCATCTCCATTCAGCACATGGCCATCACAGCATAACACCCAGGAAGCATCTCCAGCAGGAGTGGATATGCTGGCATTGGAGTCACCCCAGCATGGAAATGAGCCTGGGTTGTGCATGTCTACCTTGTGCAATGAGGGATTAGGAAAGACGACGAGGAAAAGGAGGCTGGGATGCTGCTTGGGTAATCCAGTGGGTACCACCTTCAACAAAGTCTGTAAAGTACTACCAGTGAGTTATTTCTGCCCCGCACTGAGCAGTCCGGGTAAAAGATTTGGAAAATTTAGGTTGGATGTGGAAGGTTGAGGTTGGATGTTGGGGGAAGTTCTTTCCTATGAGAGTGGTGAGGTGCTGGAACAGCTGCCCAGAGAGGCTGTGGATGCCCCGTCCATCCCTGGAGGTGTTCAAGGTCAGGTTGGATGGGGCCCTGGGCAGCCTGGGCTGGTATTAAATGGGGAGGTTGGTGGCCCTGCACGTGGCAGGGGGCTGGAGCTTCATGATCCTTGAGGTCCCTTCCAACCTGGCCATTCTGTGATTCTGTAAAAAGCCAGTGATCTCCAAACCTTGGGAACCTCACATGGGAGCGGCTGGGCAAGAGTTTGCCCCAGCCCTAGAGAAGGAACAGCATTGGATCATAGAATCACAGAACTGTTTGCGTTGGAAGGAACCACTGAAGGGTCCAACTCCCCAGCAGTAAACACCTACAGCTCCATCAGGCTGCCATCAGACATGAGATGTGGGACGTGGCTCAGCCCTGACCCCAATGTCCCCTTCCCACAGGGACATGGCACACTGGGAAGGTGCTGGCAGCTCCTTGTGGCTGTGAAAGGTGTATTGCTGCCGCAGTGACAGGAAAGCTGTGCTCTTGAGTGGTGCTATCTCATCTATTTTGCAAATACAAATGTGATAGAAATCTGCAAAATAAGGAATATGCATTAACTTCTGAAAAGTTTTGACTACATATCATTATCCGTAATTTTGCTGCTTTGATTTGCATATTCATAAAAGAAACATACAGCACGGATGTGTCAAAGGCTTTCAGATGAGTACGAACAAAACCAGCAGACTTGCAATCTCAGTTCTGAAGTAATTGCTAGGAAGATTTTGCTTTCCCTGATATTTGTTTAATGGTTTGTCCCTGAGCTTGTGAAGCTGGGAGCTGGAGCATCCCAAGGCATGAGCATCCTGGGGCAGGAGAATCCTGGGGGCAGGAGCAAACCCCTGGATTGTGCTGTGTGCACAGCAGTGACCCATCCTGAAGCACACGTGATGCACCAGCACCAGCAGGACGAGTCGGTGGCATTCCAACCAGGTGTGGTTGTGTTGGGCTGTCCCAGCCCCAGCAGCACTGAGCATCCTGCAAAGAGCAAAGGGAGCCGATGCACTGCACGCATCGAGCTGCAGGAGCTGTGCACACCCTGCCAAGTTCCATCAGCATGCACTACAGGTGCTGCTCAGCCCTTATTTTGCAGCCGTGAGACTCAAGCTGATAGACCTGGGGTGGTGGCAATGCCTGCAGCACGGCTGATGCTGAAGTGATAAAGAGCACAAGAAACGTTGCTTTTAACTTATTTCCATGCTTTCAAGCTGTGGAATAGGTGAAGCAGCAGCAACTGCTGCTCGCAGTGTTATCCCAGTGCTACAGTGCTTGTGGTTTGTGTTGCAGTCTCCCTTTCCTCATAGCACAGCCGTGCCAAACTCCAAACAAACTGCAGCTTTTTTAGCTATCCACCCAACAGGTGTCACAAATGATGGGTCTTGAACACAGGGTGTCGTTCAGCATCCACCTGCCACTGCTGATCGCTGGGGCTGGAGGGCACGTTGGTCACCAGCACCAAGGGATGTGGTCCTCACGATGCTCTGCCTCCACGGCCAGAGGACAGACACACGGACCTTTCACGGCCAGGGCAGAGTGTGCACTGAGCTTCTCACCTGGGACTTGCTCTTTCTCACGGTGAGCAGCAGCCCAGGAGGGGCTGGGGCAGGCACTGGGCTGAGCAGCAATGAGGGCTGCAAGGTTTGGGCCTGCAGCTAAAGCCCCCGAGTGCAGCCTCTGTGGAGAAGGCAGCAAAAGGCAGCCATCCACATAGCAGGTGTGCTGTGTGCTCCCCTCCACCCCCAGTCCCTCCCAGCTCCCATTCCTGGCTCTCACTCCACATCAAGGTCCTTCCTTGCGAGCTGCTGATGGACATGGTGAGGATGGATGTGCTCAGTAGATCACCCACCCCAAAGCCATCCCAGCACAACAGTCCTCTCCATCTGGTAGCTCATGATCCCATTTGGACCTCTTCCCTACTCAACAGGCCAGGCTGTTGAGACCAGGTTACGTGTTCACCCTGTTCTCTCCTTCCTGTGCTCATTCCTATCTGACTCACCTCCATCCTTCACCCTCCTTTTGCTCTTCCCATAAGCATCCCATAATAACTCCTGGGCTGGGACAGGTATTTCTATCCAGGGCTGTAGCTCCAGCAGCAGAAGGAACAAGTCCAGATGATGATGAAAACAAACAGAATTATTGTTTTAAAAACAATTCTCAATTTATTCACTTCTCCGCGCAACTCAGATGGGAGCTAAATTGATTTTTTACACCGCCTCATGTAACACACAGAGCTATTTCTCTCACTGGAAGGAACTTATGGCAATCAGTTAAACCAACACATCTGTGCTCAGAGCCCTGGGAGTGGGAGACCAGAGTAGTGTGGACCTCCCACCTGCCAGAATACCACATCTGGAGGAAGATGTGTAGATTGGGGCCTCACACTGGGACGTGAGCTGGGCGTGAGCCAAGGACATCACAGCAGTGAGCAGCCTGGTCTTCTGCTTCAGATGGTGCATGCATGGCACCAGCACAGCCCTCCCATATCAGCACATCTAAAAATGTCACCAAGCATCCTGCATGGCCTTTTCTAGCACACCATTCAGCAACTAGAGATTCTCTCATGCCTCCTTCAGCATCACCCCACAGTCTTTCTGCTAAGCTTTTCTGGGGAAGGACAGAATTAGGCAGCAAGCTCAAGCAGCAGCATGATGCCCAGAGAGGTAGATTAGTCCTTGCAGACATAAGGGGATGAGAAAAAGGTACTGGGCAGAAGGCGCACAGACAGTAGAGGTTGGGATTTCCCTAAAACTACCCTTTGAGTGAGATATTTCACCCCAGAAAAATGACACAGCATGGAGAGCATTGCTAGGAGCATGCTGCTGAGCGAGCCTCCGTGCACAGCCTCACCATGTCACCATGATGGAGCATCACAAGCAGGGCTGCTGCTCAAGGGTGGGGAGCTACAGGGAGCCCAGAACCAGCAGGGATTTCCCCCATCCCATAGCACAGGAGCAAGGCGAGCAGGACAGGGTGGCTGATAGGTCCAACAAAAAGCCCAGCATGCGAGGCAGCACCGTGGTGATGAGGTGGGCCTGGAGCCAACCCTTGGAGTCAAACCCCAGGTGAGGATCTGGTTCAGCAACTGGGGATGCAGGGTCAAAGCCAAGAAGCCAGTCTTTAAGTTGCCACCTGCCAGGAAAAGATGGCACAGGCATGGACATGAGATCACCGCCCCATTAGCACAGCTCAGATGTAAGGACCAAAAGGTGAAATGGAGCTCCTTGGGGTGGGGGTGTGGATAGAGGCACCAGGTGAGGTTGACCAGAGCCATCAGGACTTTCTGGGCTCTGACCATCAGCTTGGGAAAAGGGCAGTGCACTGAGCTGCTCCTGTCTGCCTGAGGAACCATTCCAGCCTAAGTTCTGTGCACCGTCACCTTGTCCCAGGGATGGAGGTGCACAAGGACCACGCGGGTTCCATCACCATGGATGGAAATGCACCCGTGGGTTTGCCCACCTGGGCCTCAATGAGTCACGCACGCAATGGCAGATGGTTCAGAAACAGCTGGGAAGATGACAACACTTCTCCTTCGGTGCCTATTGTCTGTCCAGAACATAAATGTCTGTTGGGTGGGTAAGGCACTCCTGGAGGTATGTACCTAATGGATCTCAAGGAGACCTTCAGTGATGGTTTATAGAGAAGCTCACCTATTCAGCCATCGGAGAAGCACGAGCAGAGCCTTCATCGAGGCATATTTCCAATACACAAAAAATTAATGAATTTGTACAGCTCCCTGCCTACAAGATGCATTCATTTAGACAGACAGCACTCAAGGCTCTAAGAGCTGCTGCTGCAGGAGATGGACGGAACGAAAGCAAAGGAGAGTAAACAGAGAAGAGATTTCTAAGTGCCCGTGACATTTGTTCAAATACTTTATTTCAATCAGCTTAAAAGGGAAACATAAAGCTCAGGTTGTTCATAGCAAAGGGGAGGAAATTGAAAACTGAGTAATGCACTAAGAGCAATTCAAAGGGAGCGGAGCCCGGCTGCTGCTCTCCTGGTGGGCTTTTTGTGTCCAAACGCTGTGTCACACGCCTCAAGAGAAGCCACTCCAAAAAAAAAAGGGTGTCTGAATGACACCGGGAGAGCTCCACTCACACAGAGCCAATAACTCCACATTTATTTTGCCAAGGAGCCCAAATAGTTGGGGTGGGGATCCGGGCTGAGTGGGAGAGCTCCTCAGGGCGACATCAGCATTTAAATCTCGTGTTCAGTGCAGCTTAGAGACACCAGAATGGTGGCAGGAAAGGAAAAAAAAAAGCAGAAGAACCTGAAATATCATCTCAGAGAAGGTGTGAATTTTCACCACAGTGCTGAAAAGCCTGGATTTTTTTTTCCCCTTTAGGATAAGGAAAGGCAGCAAGCTGAAGAGGAGGAAGGCTCCTTGTGACGCAGCAGCAGAGCGTGCAGTAAAACATGCATTTGTTCAGAGCTGTGACTTACTTCTGGTAACAGAAGAATAGAGTGAGGTTGCTGGTTTATCATTATTTTATATTTGTTGTCTTCTTTTTCACCTCCACGAGCTCACAGTGTTTCTTTCATCCCGGAGCTGTCTCCGATGGCATTTCTATATTTCATTTAGCAATCCTATAAATATGTAAATATAAGATCTGTATGTGTAAACACACACACGCATAAATAAAACGGTAATGATGCATACATCCATGTTTGTATAAAAGCTAAATTACCTCCAATTTATCCAGTGTCCTTTATCTCTTCTATGCAACCTAGGCCAAGCATTGTGTTCCTAACGGTCTTCATATGTATATGGGAATGGCACCTAGGAGGGACAGATATAGGACTAAAAGGCATCTCTGATGGAAAAGTAAGTGCAAATTCCTTCATTTCTTTCCATGTGCCTCCCAGAGCCACAGGGGAGGGCCTGCACACTCCTCACCCTGCTGTGCCCATGAGGTTTGTGCCCCCGGAGCCGGGCACTCTGTTCCACCCAGCACCAAATCTGGAATAGGGGTTGGTCCTACCACCATAGAACCATTTGAGTTGGAAAGGATCCTTAGAGGCCATCAGAT